ACATATATACACACATGCATATGTGTGTGTACATATATATATATAATAGATTACTTTTATGAATTATTGACTTTTTATACATGTTTAATAACTTCTATGCATAACTGAGCTATAGTTGTTTAATTCTTTATTATTTTATTGGTTTATTAGACAATAATAACATTTTATTACTTCATTATTTTATTATTATGTGTGCATTGCTCACTTATATTATTTATGTAAAATAATATTTATTATTACAGCTTTGCAAAAATTATGATAGCTTATTTTCACAACTTTTATTATCCTATTCTTTGTGTACACAACAATAAAACCCCTAATATGCATTATGCATTTATTATGATGAATCCATGGCCAGCACGCAGCAAATCTGGCCTCACAACACGATTATGAAGCCTGAAAACAACAGTTAAGAACAGAACATGATTCAACTTAAAATGCAGTGCAATCGGCTCGGGCGTAGCACAGCGCGTAGGCATCTCATAAATCCATTCTCATTTCTGCTCCTTTGATTCATGCAAAGCGAGCCCAAAAATGTGATCTAGTATCTAGAACAACACGGACATTCTCAAACCACATTTCCCACTGGCCAGCCACCAGAGCAAACACTTCCACAGCAATGGTGTTAAGAGTGCCCTTTGCTGTGCAAGACCTTCCTCTTGCAAAGAGCATGTTCTCACTCCGCGTGCAATGCTGCAACACGGCTCTCAACAAGCAGACCTGGACAACACACGGCACCAAGCGCAAGAGGCCCGCGCGACATCCAGAGAGGCTATAGATATTTACCACACGGTCCCATAAGCTCCAGAACCCACGGGCGACAAGTTCTGGTAGCGCTCCGGAACCTCCCATATGGTCTTATTGAGCTCCTGTCGATAGAAAGTCGGTCTCTCCTTCTGGGACATTCCTGTAGAGGAGTGGAAACTTCTGTGCCGCTCTCTCGAGCTCAGTGCTTGATGTAAACAAACACAACAACTACGCGCAAGCTCCGCGTGCAGTGCTATCCGCGTGCATTAGAGGACAGCAGTCAGACGCAGAAGACCTGCACAAGCTCCAGCTCTGATCCGGGACAACGCGTGAGATTTCTTCTGCGGGTTTCTTTTTCTTTTTTCTTTTTTTTCTTTTCTGTTACAGGTTCTCCTCTGACGAACACGCTTGACGTCACTGCACAAGGGCAAGTCTCGGGACTTCGTCCCAAACCTCGCGAGAACGAGAACTTCTGTTTGTTTGTTTTTAATGATCAAACAATATTAATATAAGCAACACCGA